TTACTCTCTCTCTCCTGTGTAAGTTTCTCTAATTCAGTTGCAGAAAAGCAGGGGCAGTGTAATCCTAGCGTGGAGGGTCCTGAGCGTTTACTCCTAGCGCGTTCTCGCTGAGAGAGCTGGGAGGACTCGGCACGAGATGCCGTCCAGGTCGAGGGCGCCGTGGCGGCGAGGAGGCTGCTGGCGGTAGAATGAACCTGCACAGAGTGAGTGACGTGAGCCGGCGTGGGGACTCGTAGCTGAGGTGACCGCTGTCGTGCAGAGGAGAGGAAGAGAAGTGGGAATTAGCTGTTCTCAGGGCTGCCTGCCCGCTCTGTTGGTCACTTCCATCACGGACGAAGGGGCAGCCGTGGAGGTGGAGCTTTCAGACCGGTTATTCCTAATCGTCCCTTCCGTCAGCGTTCTTACTCCAGAGCAGTCACAGAAGGAAGCCTGTGGTAGCTGAGTCATGTGCCGTGCCTGTGTCTGGCCACCTTTGCCCACAGCCGGGGCGGGCGCTGCTGTGTTTGGAGCGCCCCCTCGTTGGCGGGTCCGCGTTTCGTGGTCTGTTCCCTCTGGTCAGCCGAGGTCTGGAAGCAGGGACGTGTGTTGGGAGGTGAGTGGTAGCCTGACACGCTGTCACTCGGCTCACTTCTCAGGGGGCGTTTTATCCCTTTACGTCCTCACCTCACTGGGTGAGCACAGGACAGGTGACTATTGTTAGGGTTTTCGTTAATCTCTCACTGGGCCTGGCATACCAGTTAAACTTTATCATAGGTCTGTACATAGAGGAAAAATTGTGGCATGGGTAGGGTTCGGTATTCTTAGTTTCGGGCATTTCCTGGGGTCTTGGAACCTAGGTCTCCCCGGTAAGGGGCGGGGGTCTCCTGTATGGGCCTCCCCAAGTGTCCCTACCTTCAGTGCTGCTTAGAGGCGCCATGCCCTCCATCCAGGCATGGTTCTGATTCTGGAAAGCATCTTCTCCTGCTCGTTGCTTTTGCTTTCTCCTGAAAATCCTATTAGATAGGGTGGGGGGATGGGTTAGCCTGGTGATGGGTATTAAAGAGGGCACGTTCTGCGTGGAGCGCTGGGTGTTATGCACAAACAATGAATCATGGAACACTACATCCAAAACTAATGATGTCATGTATGGTGATTAACATAACAATAAAAAATCCTATTAGATAGCTTATTTTGCCCTCTGTAGCTTTTTAAAAATTTTTTTGTTATGTTAATCACCGTAGATGACATCATTAGTTTTGGATGTAGTGTTCCATGATTCATTGTTTGTGCATAACACCCAGCGCTCCACGCAGAACGTGCCCTCTTTAATACCCATCACCAGGCTAACCCATCCCCCCACCCCCTCCCCTCTAGAACCCTCAGTTTGTTTTTCAGAGTCCATCGTCTCTCATGGTTCGTCTCCCCCTCCGACTTACTCCCCTTCATTCTTCCCCTCCTGCTTTTTTTTTTTTCCTTAACATACATTGCATTATTTGTTTCAGAGGTACAGATCTGTGATTCAACAGTCTTACACAATTCACAGTGCTCACCGTAGCACATACCCTCCCCAATGTCTATCACCCAGCCACCCCGTCCCTCCCACCCCCCACCACTCCAGCAACCCTCAATTTGTTTCCTGAGATTAAGAATTCCTCATATCAGTGAGGTCATATGATACATGTCTTTCTCTGATTGACTTATTTTGCTCAGCATAATGCCCTCTGTAGCTTTTAATCTGTTTTTCGTATGTTTTGTTTTTCTGGGCTTCATTCGTTTGGAGTCCACTCCTCAGATGTTTGTGTTCACCAGTCTCCCCTCACCAGTGATGGTAGCTGTCCATTGAGTTCCATTTTAGTGACCACAGTGTTCACTTCCAGGAATTGTTTCATTATTTTCCAGGTGTGTTTTCATTTTCGTGTTGCCTTTATTCTTCATTATGGTTCTTTTTTTCCAGGCGTTTTAAACATACTTACTCTGTAGTTGCCTAGGTTGCCCCATTTCCAGGTCTTGAGTACTAATTTCCCTTGCATGTCCTATCTGTTTACACTCTTGGCTCAGTTCTTCATGAGCTCATACTTTCTTGTTACAGATCTGTCTTTGGGGGTTCATTTGGGGGGGGTGCCTGTGTACCCTGGCTTGCAGAAGTATTCCTACAGAGCGGAGGAACATTTGCTTCCTGAGGGGCTCCCGGAGTTTTTCTTGCCCCAGGCAAATCCTGGTGGGCCTTTGGGGCTTGTTGTGGATTTGGACCACATACCACACAGCAGGGTCAGGCTCCGGGTTTTGATTTCTCACAGGCTGCGTCTCCCATCACTGAGTAGCCAGCCCACGTCCTTGCTGTTTCTCTGGATTGGTGGGCAGGAGCTTTAGGCTTCTGTCAGCCCTAAGGGTCACCAAGAGATCCTCCTGTTTGAGTCTGTCTGGCCCCAGCCTCAGCCCCCAGGGACCCTCACTGTCAATGCCACTAGGGATTCCCCACCCCCTTTACTCATTTAGCACATTTATGTTTAAATTTTCTTGTTTTTGGCGGTTTTAGTTCATTGCAAGAAAGGGGAGATCTGCATCCTCTGGCCCCTGGAAGGGCAGCATGAAATTACATTCTCATAGTTTCCCTGCCTCTCAGTCACAGTGGATTGTGTCCATTCTTAGCTATCAGTTGGGCCAAAAAATGGGTTGTTTGGTGGTGGTGGTCTTTTTTTTTTTATTTTTTTAAGGGTACTGGGAAGGCGGAGTATTTTCTAATGTTTCCTATGCACCTTTTTTGTTACGACTGGCCATAACCGTATGTAGGTTTTGTTCTTGTTTCTTTTGAGGGTGGGGGAGTAGAGGAGAAAGTGCTGGAAGGTTCCCTAGGGCTGCGCAGGAGTTCCCACGGGAAACCTGGGAACCTAGGCCCCTGTCGCTGTTCCCTTGCGGTAGTGTCACCTCCGGGCATGACTGTCCTGAGTCCAGTCACTGGGATGAGTGCGGGGCGGGCTCTCGTGGCTGTTAGCGGGGGTCCTGCCAAGCCTTCTGCCTCAGGCTCGCGGTGTGAGCTGGTCGAGCGGGGGCAGAAGCCTCTAAGCCATGTGTCGGGTGTCCGTGGCAGACAGGCTTCCTTACGCGGGGGCGCCTTCAGTTGGCGGCACTGCAAGCCTGCACAGCTGGCTCCTCTGTGAGGCCGCTCAGGACTGGCCCTTCTTACCTTAGGGCCCTCTGTTGAGAACGGCACACAAGTTTTGGGGAGATGTTTGCAAGCCCTCCCATCCCAGTAAGTTCCACACAGCAGCCAGCAAAGCTGTGGACTCCTTTTTGTGAAGGGAGGAAAGACCCACCCAGGGTTCGGACAATGACTACGTTGTCTGGCTTTCTTCTGCCTACCCTTTGTTTGGATACAGTGTTGGTGGCCTGAAACTTCTTTTAAAAAAGCTTTTTCCCTGAGGGTTCTAGAGGGGAGGGGGGTGGGGGGATGGGTTAGCCCGGTGATGGGCATTAAGGAGGGCACGTTCTGCGTGGAGCATTGGGTGTTATATACAAACAGTGAATCATGGAACACTACATCAAAAACTAATGCTGTAATGTATGGTGATTAACATAATAAAATAAAATAAATAAAAAAGCTTTTCCCTTGTAATTGTCCTAGTAAGTTAATTGAATACTGTTATCTATGGTGTTGGGAGGTGTGTCTTAAATGAGGCATTTGGCAAATTATTTGCTTTTAAAATTTAAAGCAGATTCAAGGTAGTAGCATGCACGTTGGTATTTGTGGTCTCGACGGCTGCCATTGAGGCTCCAGTGCTCTCCCCTTTTATATGTATTTGTCCCCTAAATTATGGGTTTTAAAGATGAAAAGGCATTGGTGGGGTGAAAGCATGTCAGTATTTTCTTCCGCAGTTGCACACCTAGCTACACATGTGAGATTGTTCTAGCTACCACACTTTCCTTCCCAGACTGGTATTTCTTAGGTGTTCAGAAGTAACTCCTTTTCTCACGGAGTTCTCTTTTCCATCCTGTGGGCAGAGAGCAGAATTCTTTCAACTGGAATAACACCCGTTTTGTTCTTCATTTTCAACCATTTGGAAGAGCTTTACAGTGAGGCATTGAAGGAAGGTTTAGGTGGACAGTTGCACAGGAAGGGGAGGGCCCACAGTGGGTGTATTTTAGGCATTTGGAGTTTCTGTTGCTAGGAAGATAATGGCAGTACTGGGCAGGCAGTTGGAATTAGGGGCCTGAAGCTTTGGGAATGTTTGCGGAAGTGTTTGTGGACAGGCAGGTGGAAGGATGCTGAGCACACAGCACAGGACAGCAGAGGGACAAAATGTCGATTTATACAGGGAAGGTGGGTGGGGATGCTGCGAACTACATCCCTTAGGACGCGCTCCGCAGAATTTCTCCTTGCCCTTGCTCCCCACCAGCCCCGGGAGCCTTGGAGGAGGACCGGTGGGCGACGTGCACATCCCCCCGAGAGCCGTGTTCTCAGTTAGCAGACGCTGCTTTCATACCGGTTGCACTGAATTGAAGCTAGACCCCGTACAAACACTCGCCTCTTTGCAGCCATCACAGTTGGCTCCCTTCGTCTCTGGTGCAGAGGTTTTCTGTCCCTGCTTGGCGTGGCTTTCCTTCTTCTTTGCTTGTCACTTGGAGCCAGATCCTGCTTGTTTAGAGAGATTAGTGCGTTCTCAGTGCTCTGGATTCCTGAGGTGTAGTCCTGACCGGGGGTTGCCGGCATCTGGTTCTGTTCCGCTAGTATTTTATCTTTCCTATGCTCCTGAGTTGTGTGGGTGTAGCTCTGTGGTCGGTAATGGAGCACAGTCTGTCAGATACTGAGCCTGCACAGGAGGTATGGGCCGGGGGCACGCTGGCTCCCTGACCTCAGGGAGCTGAGTGTAAGGGGCAGAGACGTGGGTCTCTGTTCAGCTTCCCTTTTTGGTTGGTGGTTTCCGTGGAGGCCCCTGGACCAGCAGCTCTGGGCCGTGTGGGGCTGGCGTGTTCGGGGGTCTCAAGTGCTGGTCAGTAAAACTGTGTTAACGTTTTCATTTCAGAGAAGCCTGTGTCACCCAAGTCAGGAGCACTGAAGAGCCCTCCCAAAGGATTTGACACTGCTGCCGTTAACAAAAGCTACTACAACGTGGTGAGTAACTGCACAACCTGTTTTAGGAGTAACTTGGGTTTGTTTTTGGAGGTCTCTAAAACTCTGCAATGGAGAAGATAGGTAAACTACATAGAACATGGAGAAGGATATAAAAATCATCCCATTACTGGCTGCACAGTTATAACAACCATTAATGTTCTGGTGTATTTTTTTCTCATCTGTTTTACAGTCTTATAATTTTTTTCCAGTATCTATGCAGCATTGTGCCATTTTTGTCACATAATGTGGTGTTCCCTCAGACCATTTCAGGTCTTCAAAGATGAGACTGTAAAGAGGCGCATGATGTGATGTAAAACCATTACAGGCATCAGGTGCATTTTACTTGTACTCAGAGTGGATTGTAAGTACTTTAGATCAATTACTGTTTCTGGTTTACTTGATCTTAACAGAGTCTTTCCTGGGATTGATGTACATATATATCAGAAAGCATGGAATCACAGGAGAGTGTCTACACGTACATAGTAAAGATGAGTGTTTTAGGATCTAAAACTGCATTTTGAAACTTAGGAGCAATTTGTGAACTTAAAAAATACCTGTGAAGTCTAGTCTAAACCATTGCATATACTGCAGGAATAGGAAATGATACTCTTCATTTGGATAACCTTTTAAATTGCTGGCATGTATCAGTGAGATAAACCAGCAAAGTGAACCTTGTAAATGTGGCTTGGTCTTATTCCGTGGAAAATCTGCATTTTGGGTTTCTTCCCCGCTCTGAGTCTTCCGGAGAAAGTTTCCTGATCGCGGTTGTCCATCTGAGTGCGTGAGGCTGTGCGTCTTTGCCGTGGAGCGGCTCCGGGCTGGCGCTGCTGTGAGCAGGGCTCGGGGTTTTCCTAACTGTGCTGCTGGTGGGCGAGAGGGTGAGGCCGCGTGACGCTCCGCCATGCTGACCTGCGGCCGCGGCCCCTGCCGCGCGTCTGCATTCTCAGCGCACTGTGCACTCGCTCGCCGTCAGCCCCACATCTTACAGAGCGGGGTGAGCCCGGGGGCGTTTGTTGCCCTCCTCGCGTCGGTTCGGTTACGTGCCCTGCAGTGGGCCCAGGTGGGGGCAGTGGGTTGTAGCAGTGCCGGAAACGAGGCCAGCCCCCGTTCTCCTGTGTGAATGCGGTTCATTGCTTCCTCTCCCTACCTTCCCTGCCATGTGCACGCTGCCTCTGCCTGCTTTCCCTTCCCCCCTTCTTGTCCCGTGGCCTCCGTGCGATGCCCTAGCCGTCTCACATTGGTTTTCTTCGTGTTCCCCGACGCCAGGCCCCTCTTCCTACGCAGCCCTTCGCTTGAGTCTCAGCCTCCGCTTCTCCCACTTCCTGTTCTTTTCCCAGTCCCCTCTGCTCCCTCCGAGCGCGGGCTTCCACGCCAGTTCTGCACTGAGAGAGTGCCAGGCTCCCCAGCACAGCCTGTACTGGGGCCACGCACCTTTCCTGGCTGTGCTCTGCCCTCCACGTCCTGTTTGGTTCTTTGTCGGAGGTTTGTTCCTGGAACATGGCTCTCCTGAGGTCGTTGGTTCTCAGTGTATGTTGTGCTATGTGCGTGGCTCCGTGCCACAGTAAGAGTCGTCTTGTTGTTCTTCAGGGTTTCACAGTACGAGAACTTGTGGAGCTGCCTTTCCTCTTGTGTTCTTACGTGGGATGTTGGTTTCTTTCCAGGGGAAGGCTTCATGTGGGGAGTGTCAGCTTGTCTGTGTACCGATGTTCTGAAGGAGCTCGCTTCTCCTAGAGGTTAGAGGAAGCAGGTTAGCGCCCTGTAAACCGGTACCAGCTGCATCTCTCCTGTCTCTCTAGTAATCTTGCTCCCATTAGGGATTTTTGTCAAAGTAGGCAACCATGCTTTTCTAGAAGTCCTGGCAGGTTGTTTTCCTTTGCATTTTATACACGCACACAGACACACTTAAAGATTTATTTGCTTATTTTAGCGGAAGGGAGGGAGAGAGAGAGAATCCCAAGCAGATTCCCCGCTGAGCGCGGAGTCCGGCGTGAGGCTTGATCTCACAACCCTGAGATAATAAACTGAGCTGAAATCAAGTCAGACGCTTAACTGACTGAGCTCCCTCCCCAGGTGCCCCTTCCTTTGCATTATAACTTCTGCAGTCCTCTTCAGCTTGAAGCATAATCAGTGGCTTTTTACATTTCTTTTAACTGTGCTTGTACAGGGTAGAGAGCCTTCATATCACACGTGCTATTCTGAGTCAGCTACTCTTTAATTCAGAATGCAGGAAAACACCTTGACCTCAGAATCACGTCGGAATTGTTGTTTACATAACGCTGTGTTAGTAAATAGCGCGTGTGAAAATTGCAGTTGTTGTTATGGACTTAACTCAGAACTCATAGGAATCACCTTTTAGGATAGCACTCCCATTTTATAGGGGAGAACACCAAAAGCTCTAGAGGTTAAAGCACTTGTCCGAGGTCACACACTGGTTAGTGACCAAGTCAGGAATAAATTCCTCTTCTTTGAAGTTTGTATTTATAAATGACGTAAAGTAAAATATAGAACAGAATACCACATGCAGAGCAAAGTAGAATAGATTATGCATTCGGCATTTTCACACTGCCTTGGGTGGTTTCATTTTCTTTTTTTTTTTTTTTTAAGATTTTATTTATTTGACAGAGAGCAAGAGCAGGAACACAAGCAAGGGGAGTGGCAGAGGGAGAAGCAGGCTTCCCGCAGAGCAGGGAGCCCGATGCAGGGCTCGATACCAGGACCCTGGAAACTAGGTATTTCACAGGAAGTATAGGTATTTTTAACCCCACTGATTGGAGAAGGTTCTCCAAGAGGAAAGACTGTTCATGAAAGACTGGGTCTCTGCGTAGGCCCAGCGGAGAGCAGTGAGGAAAGCTGTAGGTGGAGGTACAAGCGTACTGAAATTAAGACAGGAGACAGGCATGAATGGGTTGGATCTGTAACCTGTTTCTCCTGTATGATGGTCAAGACAAGCCCAAAACACTGGGGGGTTCAAAGTGATTCTTGGTGACTTAAGACCGTTGCAGGACATTCATCATGTTTCCTCTTCATGGGACTCCCACTGCGCACACGTTCATTGTGATGGTGCCCATGGGTCTCTGAGGTGCTGTTAATGTTTCTTTGTTTCTTTCTGTTCTTCAGACTGAAAAATCTCTATTGTCCTTTTTGTTGGCAGATTCTTTTGCATTTCAGATCTAATGGTGAGCCCCTCTAGTGAATTTTTCACTTTATCACACCTTTCAGTTCATAATTTCCATTTGAGTTTGTTCAAATTTTCCATATTTTTATAAAAAAGATTTATTTGAGCGAGCGTGCAAGTATGTGTAGGGCAGGGTCAGAGGGAGAGGGAGAATCTGAAGCAGACTGCCTGCTGAGTGTGGAGCCCGACACACGGGGCTTGATCATGACCTGAGCTGAAACCAAGAGTTGGATGCTTAACTGACTGAGCCTCCCATGTGCCCTCATTTCGTTATTTTTATAGTCAAATACACACTGTATTTGAGTCATCATTTGACTTGCCTATTTTAGAGCAGTTTTAGGCTCACAGTAAAGTGGGGAGGGTGATGGAGGTTTCCCATGGACCTCCTGCCTCCCAATGTGCATGGCGACCCCCTGCGATCAGCGTCTCCGGTGGCCTGATGGTGCTCATTTTAGTGCAGGGTAGTAACCCACTGTCTGGATGGGCCAGTTTATCCATCACCTACTGGGGGACATCTCGCTTCCTTCCAAGTGCTGGAAATTACGAGTAAAGCTGCTATAAACTTGCGTGTGCAGGTTTTTGTGTGGACGTGTTTTCAGCTCCTTTGGGTAAGTGCCAAGGAGTGCTATTGTTGGGTTGTGTGGTAGGAGTACGTTTCGTCCGTAAGGAGCCGCCACACTTGTCTTCCAGAGGAGGGTTCTCGTGGGACGGCCTCCGCGTCGGGTGCTGTCCGTGGCTTGGGTTTCGCTGAGGCGCTAGGTGTGCGGTGCTGTCTCCCTGTTGTAGTTGGCACTCACCCTGCTGACGAAGGATGTGGAGCACCTTTTCACATGCTTATTTGCCATTTGTGTATTTCCTTTTGTAAGGTATCTGTTCAGTTCTTCTGTCCATTTTTAAAGTTGGGTTCTCTTACTGAGTTGTAAGGGTTCTTTGTATATTTTGGTCTTTGACCAGATGTGTTACTTTTTCCCTTTAACTTTGTAGTTTGAGGATAATATGCATGGATATAGCTTTTTTGGCATTTATCCTGCTGGGGTGTGCTCGAGGCTTCCTGGGATCTGTGGCTTTGGTGTCTGACATTAATTAGGGGAAATTCTCAGTCATCATTTTTCAGTCTCCTGTTCCTTCTCCTCCCGGGATTCCCATTAGGTGTATGTTACACCTGGTGCCGTCCCACAGTCTTTGGATATTCTCCTGTGTTTTCTTGTGTCTCTTTGGTCTTCAAGGATTCCTTTAGGTGTTGGAGCGTGTGGTTCTTTCTTCAACGTGTCCCGTCTGCTCATGAGACGGTCACAGGAGTTCTTTTCTGTTAGTGCTTCTCTATCAGTTTGCAGTTCCTAAGATTTCCATCTTCTTGCCAGCTTCCCTTGCATGTGGCCTGCTTTATCTGCCAAATCCTTTAGCACATTAATCATAGTTGTTTTCAGTTTCTGGTGGGATCATTCCAGCATTCCTGCCATGTCTGTCTAGCTCTGGTGCTTGGTCTCCTCAGATTGTGTCTTGCCTTTTGGTGTACCTTGTAAATTTTTCTTGATGGCTGGACATGCTGTGTCAGGTAAAAGGAAGTGCTATAAATAAGCCTGCCATGAGATGAGATGAGATGAGGTGTTGGCGGGAGGGGAAGTGCTCTCTAGTCCTGGGATTGCCGCTCTATCTGAGCGGGTGTTTTTACATACCACCCCTGCCCCCACCACAAGATGGGATGGCTGCGGTGAGCTGGGGCTGGGTGTCTCCCTTCCCCAGGTCTTTGAAGCAGGTTGGGCTCTGGCTAACTCCCTCCCCTGAGGGCAGTTCTCATTAAGAACAGAGGCACGGGGGGGGGGGG